AAAAAATTTTTAAATGCCCAACAGTGGAACTACTGGACTGTATGATATTTCTATTTTTTAATATTTTGAGGATCTTCCTTCCACACTGTTTTCCATACTAGCAACACGAATTTACATTCTTACCAACAGTTCACAAGAGTTCCTTTTTCTCTATGTCCTTATCAATACTTGCTATTTCTTGCTTTTTTTATACTAGCCATTCTGACAGGTGTAAGCTGATATCTTATTGTGGTTTCGATTTGCATTTTCTTGGTGATTAGTGACACCGGGCATCTTTTCATGTGTCTGTTGGCCATCCGGATGTCTTCTTCGGAAAAATGTCTATTCAGACCCTCTACCCGCTTTTAAAAATATGATTATTTGGGGGGTTTTGGTGTTAAGTTGTATGAGTTCTTCATAAGTTTTGGGTATTAGCCCCTTATCAGATATATCACTTGCATCTTCTCCCATTCAGTAGGTTGTCTTAGCATTTTGTTGAAGGTTTCCTGGGCTGTGCAAAAGCTTTTTAGTTTGATGTAGTCCCAATAGTTTATATGTGCTTTTGTTTCACTTGACTGACTAGGCATATCCAGAAACATGTTGGTAAGTCTAACGTCCAAGAGATTACTGTTTACATTTTCTTTTAGGCGTTTTAGGATTTTAGGTTTTACACTATGTCCTCAATCCATTTTGAGTTTATTTTTGTGTATAGTGTAAGAAAGTGGTCTGGTTTTATTTTCAGAGTACTCTTCATAAGTTTTTCGGCTTTTTAAAAAACAAAATAAAAGACTTGAATTCTCAATGTTTCTGATGTTTTTTTAAAAAAATTTCTTGATTTTATTAAAAAAATTTTTTTTAATGTTTATTTATTTTTGAGAGAGACAGAGGCAGAATGCGAGTGGGTTAGGGGCAGAGAAACAGGGAGACACAGAATCCAAAGCAGGCTCCAGGCTCCCAGCCGTCAGCACAGAGCCCGATGTGGGGTTCAAACTCACAGAGCTGTGAGATCGTGACCTGAGCTGATGTCGGATGCTCAACCGACTGAGCCACCCAGGCGCCCCTTAAAATTTTTTTTAATGTTTATTTATTTTTGAGAGGAGAGAGAGACAGAGTTTG